CCCGTCCTGTCCTGCTCTCAGACCCTCGCCACCCAACCTTGACCTGGCAGTACCAGGCGCAACGCCGACAAGACGCGCAACCATGTTTTTACCCGATCTTTTTTTGCCAACGTCCCCGGAACACTTGCCGTATGGCCTGCTCGGCTTTGGGTTGGCTGCCTGGAGGCTAGCAGATAGCAGCTTGCTCTGCTGCCCTAGGGCGAATGTGGCCAGAGGCGCTCACTCATCAGCCTGTGTGCGCGCTGGTCTTGAGCGCCGAGGATCAGCAATGCGAGCTTGTCCGAGTCTTTCGTCATTGTGCATGGCGCGTGGGAGATCTTGTCTGCTAGGGCCCCAGACTGCTGACCCGTCGAGGGAGGTCATTGTACTAGCTAGTATTACCATTGGTGTCGTTTTCCCGGGTCCGATTCATTCCATATATCGCACAATGTTTGAATGCCGTGACTCTCTAGTTGTGAAGCAGTATGTGCTACAAAGGTGCGTGCTGGAGCCAGCATATGTGAGAAGACTACCACCGCTATCAAGCGTGTCAAGTGCAGACCTGTGTAAATGTCCTGGGGCTGACAACGGCAAACTCGTTATCATGTCTCCTGATCGTTTTGAGCAGATCCGATAACGACAATGCCATTTTCTTTGAGTCAACTATTTAGTGAAATCGCAGACAGTGCCACGAGTTGAATCCATAGTAACAGATATCAACATTCCTTTTCCATTTACAGCATGTGCCTGCGTTATCGATCCATTTGCTGCCTTACGGATGCATATTCGAAGGGCACACGACTGTGAAGATGTTAAAGTAGAGGAGTACGAAACCACAATTTAGGCTCCTGTAGCGCTGGATAACCACCCTTTGATATTCGCTAATCTAAGGTAGGTCCATGATCCTTACCCCACTGCCGTCCAAGGCAACCGTCAATCGAACAAGTCTACGTATTTCAAGTCATCAGCCCTCCGTTCCCGCAGCCGCCGACTCAGGATCCCCCTCGCCAGCCTCCTCATCGCCAGCCTCTTCTGCAGGCGCCTCTTCAATAGCCATGAGGCCAGCACCTCCCGGATTTTGTTCAGCCTCGAGCTGCTTCACCTTCGTGTTGGTCATCTGGTACACGAACTGACCAAGGTGCTCAACGCCCTCCATACATGCTTCACCCGGCACCTCTCCGCTTTCTGAGGCGATAAGTCGCTGAGATGGCCACATTTCACCAGTGACCAGCATCAATTTGTCTGGTCGCTGAAAGAGCTGCTCGAATGCTGGACGTAGTTCATAGCATGCCTCAAAAACATCCCGCCGTCCCAAGATGTAGAGACCCAGACGAGCTCGCGAGAGAGCGACAGTCATGCGTCGGACGTCTCGCAAGTAGCCAACCCGAGACGTGCGTGTCAAGGACAAGATGATATCTAAACCAAATGTCAATTTGTGTCTGATTTGTATGGAGGACAATTATGAGGCACTTACAGTCATTTTGTTCGCCCTGATACTTGTCGACAGTAGAGACGACACGTGGTCGTCCAAAGATGGCTTTGTTGCTGCATCTGTGTGCCAGTACATCATTGACCAGGGCGCGCTGCCCGGCGTATGTCGTGAGAATGCTGATCTTTGACGCGGGATAACCCAGAAGCCGCATGTATTGGTAGATGGCCACGGCGTATTCGGCTTCGCCGAGGTTCTGGATGAAATGAGGCGTTGGCTCTGCCTCGCCCTTTCCCTTGTAGTCGGGCACGTTGATAAATTGATAATCAAACTTGAAGCCAGCATTGGCCTTGAGGAACTCGTCGCTAGCTTGTACGTGAGGCAGGCTGTCCAGCTTGGGATACCTCCACTTGTACAAATTGGCAATCGCAGGTCGAGCTCGGCCCTGTTGATCAAGATTGATGGTCGGGACACCGAGCCGCACGAGTCGTGAGAAGAGTGACTGCTCAAGGTTTGCATAATGACGGAATGCGTGGCTCTGGATAACGGGCGAGTTCTGAAGATGATCGCCGCAGAGAACAACACGCTGTAAAAGATTCTGCCCGTCTTTTGGCTTCTGCATAGCCAAAGGAAGGAAATTCTCTATTTCCGTAATCTGTGCAGCCTCTTCCATGACCACGTTGTCGTACCTGAAGCCGAGCGAGGCAATTTCTTCGCGCTTAATAGCAGCATGTGTCGAGGTCATTGCAATAATACGTGCCTCATTGATGAGCAGGTAGTTGGACTTGTCTTTGTCCCTTCGAAGAATTTCGAACGGCAAGACATCAGCCAGCTCTGAGAAAATCTTGGAGATATGACGATAACACCCTTCGGCAATTTCCAGCGCCTTCTGGTGATCGGCATCATCAGGAAAGAGGGGTTGAGGTGCTGTGGAGAAGAACCTGTGGAAGGGGAAGGCCTCGATTACAGTGGCAGTCGTAGCTGTCTCCGACTTTGCTGCTTCCATGAATTTGGCCCACGCAGGCTCAATGTAAACCGAGTTAAAGTAGCCAGCCGTCTCAGCAGAGTTACCATGCGCCCCGGGAGCACCAATACTAGATGCAAGAAGATTGACCTCTTGGAGATAGCGGTCACGGTTGTCCAGGAACGACTCGACTCGACCATGTTTGCTGAAGCTCCCCTCCGTGTAAAGATCTTCTTCTCCATGGCCTAGACGTAGCAAGTGGCGCTCATCAATGTCTAGAGCGATAATCTTGGCGAAGAGTTGGTTCAATGCCTGATTACTGTGTGCGATCAAGAGAGTCCTCTGCTCAGGGAAGTTGTGATAGATGTTGTTGATGATTTGAGACGCAACGTCGGTTTTTCCTGTACCCGGTGGCCCGACAATGACCGTCAAGCCTGGCTGTGACCCGGATGTGATAGCCTCTATCTGGGCCGAAGTGAAGCGAACAGCATTCAACTTCGGGGCGTCAACTGGGAAGGGACCCTCGTTCGGCGGCTTGTATGTGGACACTTTGACGGTTTCCACCTCTACCGACAGTGGGGGCTCCGCGTCCCGTCTACGCTTCTTGGTGGGTTTCGGCAGCAGGACAGCTGGCGTATCTGCAGCCTCCAATACGTACGGCGGTCCGAAGCTCCCTGACGCATCGTCGTTAGGCTCAATAATTTTGCCAGGCAGGCTCTCAATGAGGTGTTGCCAGTCAAGAAAGGTGTCCCGATAGTCGAGCCTCTTGACTCGATTGGGTAATTGCTTGTAGGTTGCCCCGGCGGGATCGCCATTATCCCAGGAATACTTCGTGAAGCCATGACGCGACAGGTACATC